GGGGGGGGGGGGGGGGGGAGTGTCAAGGAAGGGGAGAAGGTGCTGTTAGGGAGGGGAGGGGAAACTTTTGTTAGTTAACATGAAACCTGCCCTATCACACCCTTGCACCGAAGTGACCTACTTCATTAACCTCTGGGGTTAAGCCAAGATTACATGATTGTATATCTGATTTATATGGTGGCTAGAAATGCTTAATCATGACATTAGTTGACCTGTCAGTGAGGCTGATATGTATATACTGGCCAGCGGGCAGTTTTATGATGACCAGTGTGACAGTATGTAGACAGTCATATATATATATCTATGTATGTACAAATGTAAAGCTTCCACAATTTTTGCACACTCAGCAAAATTTCTAGGACTTTTCACTCTCAAATGGAAACAAAAATTGTCACTGTTTTAATCTTTTAACTGATATTTCGGAGTCAATTTAATTCCATTTCTGACCGGAGATTTAACAGAAAGAACATTTAAAATTGTTTTCGATATATGATATTAGGATGTATACCAATGTTTCACATCACTTCCTAAATATCATGTCATCCTGTAGCCATTTTGCAGTCTGAATTCTGAAGGTAACAGGCTTAAAGTTATTGGTCAAACTGTATGACCATTTAAAGTAAAACTTCTAAAAAATCTCAACATGTCTAACATAAAGTCCACCTGTAAAACCGGCTGTAAAAGCCTCTGATATTGTCCACTCTGCTGTAACCAGCCCCTAAGATAGTTGACACCTGCTGTTGCCAGCCCCTTAGATAGTTGACACCTGCTGTTGCCAGCCCCTTAGATAGTTGACTCCTGCTGTAACAGCCTTGGATATTGTCCATCCTGCTATCACAAGCCCCTTATATAGTTCACTTCTGCAGTAACCAGCCTCTAATGTAGTTGATTCCTGCTGTAACCAGCCTCTGCTGTAGTTGATTCCTGCTGTACCCAGCCTCTGATTTAGTTGATTCCTGCTGTACCCAGCCTCTGATTTAGTTGATTCCTGCTGTACCCAGCCTCTGATTTAGTTGATTCCTGCTGTACCCAGCCTCTGATTTAGTTGATTCCTGCTGTACCCAGCCTCTGATTTAGTTGATTCCTGCTGTACCCAGCCTCTGATTTAGTTGATTCCTGCTGTAACCAGCCACTAATGTAGTTGATTCCTGCTGGAACCAGCCTCTAATGTAGTTGATTCCTGCTGTAACCAGCCTCTGATGAAGTTGATTATTGCTGTAACCAGCCTCTAATGTAGTTGATTCCTGCTGTAACCATACACTTATTTAGTTAGCTGCTGTAATCAGCCTCTGATGTAGTTGATTCCTGCTGTAACCAACCTTTTATGTAGTAAATCCTTGCTGTAACCAGCCTCTAATGTAGTTGATTCCTGCTGTAACCAGCCTATGATGTAGTTGATTCCTGCTGTAACCATACACTTATTTAGTAAGCTGCTGTAACCAGCCTTTAATGTAGTTGATTCCTGCTGTAACCAGCCTCTGATGTAGTTGATCATTGCTGTAACCAACCCCTTTGTAGTAAATCCCTGCTGTAACCAGCCTCTAATGTAGTTGATCCCTGCTGTAACCAGCCTCTAATGTAGTTGATCCCTGCTGTAACCAGCCTCTTATGTAGTTGATTCCTGCTGTAACCAGCCTCTAATGTAGTTGATCCCTGCTGTAACCAGCCTCTAATGTAGTTGATTCCTGCTGTAACCATACACTTATTTAGTTAGCTGCTGTAACCAGCCTCTGATGTAGTTGATCCTTGCTGTAACCAACCTCTTATGTAGTAAATCCCTGCTGTTACCAGCCTCTAATGTAGTTGATCCCTGCTGTAACCATACACTTCTTTAGTTAGCTGCTGTAACCATCCCATTTAAAGTTTGATTCTTACTGTAACCAGCCATTCTGTTTTAAACCCTTGAAATGTTTACTGCTGCTGCCAGACAGAGAGGATACAAAGACGTAAAAAAGTTAGAAAAATGTGTAGCTTGCCTTTTTGCACTGATCTGGGTTTCTCTACACATGAACATGAATTCAGTGCTACATCTATTGATGGGCTAGTCTGGGACTTCTGTAAAAGTAGTTCAGTGGTACTGGAGGTATTTGCCTGTTTGTACTAAGGTTGTGAGGGTGTAGTTAACCCAGCAGTCTCCCACATCAATCCTTACTGCTACAGTAACAGACATGAAACAGACAGCCTGCCATAAAATCGCAGTTCCTACTGGTGCTACAAAGATACACAATCTAGGCCTTCTGAAACTTTACATACATACAGATATATATATATATATATAGATTCTGTGGAGATTTCCCTAAGACATAGTAATTACTTTAATAGCTTTTCCTCAGCTGCCTTGCTTTTTTGTACTGGTATGGAGCTGCTCTAAGTTAGAAATTTGCTATCATTACATATTTGAAATATTTTTTTTAAACAGCTGAGGACACAACCTATGTTCATTGAGTTATTTATCATTGTCATTTTTCCTTGATGCCTACCCCAACGCCTACCCCATCCCCCCCCCAAACCCTGACCCCCCCAGTGTCATGAGCCAAAACGATGTGGAATAGCACATTACAATCCTCTTTTTGGCATGAGACACATAACATATGGTTTACTTATTTACAATGGGTAGATGCCAAGGCAAAAATCAATGAATATCCCCTTGGGAATTAAAAGCAAGAAACTAGAAAAATAATTGAAAATAAATATTGAAAAGCTTTGATGTAACGTTAGTTAAGCTAACCACACACCTGTTAACTGTTTGGTCATCGAAAAACAAGAAAGAAATTAATGTCCGTCATTCAACTGTTTGAGGTAAGATTTTGTTGAGCTAACAAAGTAATTCACGCTCATTTCAAGGATAAAAATGCAAAAACCTAAAACGAAGGAAAAGAATATCCATCATTTGAAATTATAATAAATAGTTACGATGTAACGTTTGCTAAACTTACAAAGTGTGTGATCCGGACATGACCTGAACTTGACCTATACTCAACCCCAAGTGTGTTTTACCTGAGGGACAAAGTCCTGGTGAGGGAGTTGAACCTGTTACCTGTACGCTATTTCTATAAAGATCTCGTTAGTTGTTACAAATCTTAAAAGGTGAGAAAAACATTTCATTTTTTTAGTCTGCCTCCAGTTTCGTGAACTTATCTTGAGTATTTTGAAATTTTAGCATTTTAGATTTTCTTGACGCCTTAACAGTGTAAAATTTCTAAAAGATACGTAAATATGTTATATGACATTATTACAATGTAAAAAATGTAGCCCATGAACCAATGTCTGATTTTGAGAATGGAAATGTTTTCAAAGTTAGGAACTTTAGTAGAATTGAGGTCTGCAGTGCTATGTGACCTCTAAATGTGCTAGCATGTCTCATTCCATTGGTCTGCATTAATGTTCAGAGTTATAAGACTATAACTCCAAACAGAATTTGGTTTACTTTTCAATGAAAATAAAAAACTTTCCTCCTGAACCATACTCAGCATTCTTTCTGTTATATATAAAAGTACAACAGACCAGCCCTGTATGAGGGCATCTGTGTGTCATTAAGGGCAATGGAGTGGTTTAAATGAGTGAGCGCCAGGAGCATCTGTCCACCTGATAGGGCCAATAACCTCATCTGCTGGCTAATACCTTATTATGTAAATGGAGGGCCAAAAGTTCATAATTCATTAGTGAAGCTATCAGTGTGTCATCTGTCATTACATCTATACAGGTAACACTCCGGGGTCTTTGTGTGTTGTGGGGATACTTGTTATCAATGTAGATTTTATTCCGGATATTGCCCTTTCCCTGGCCTTGAAAAGACCACAGTATACCGTTATACCTGATAAAAAGGAAAATGTAAGACTTACATTTGACCTCCTCCTCCCCCTCCACAAAAGATAAGAAAAGTAGCCTATCTGTTCGGCACTAAGCCCATGCCTGTCAAACAGCCACCTATTTCTGCTGCAGTTCAGTAGCAATGCTTGTAACACTATTTAAAGGTCTTTTAACTCATTAACCCCTGAAATGTTCAAAATGAACTATTCCAACATTTCAATGGGATGGACCACAGGTTTGTAGATGGGTGGACTAAGGGTGGACTGCAGATGTAAAGTGAAGGGGGTGGCCCACCACAGGTTTGTAAATGGGTGGACTACAGATGTAAAGTGAGGGGGTGGGCCAAAGATTTGTAGATGGGTGGACTAACGGTGGACTGCAGATGTAAAGTGAAGGGGGTGGCTCACCACAGGTTTGTAGACGGGTGGACTACAGATATAAAGTGAGGGGGTGGACCACAGGTTTGAAGATGGGTGGACTACGGATGTAAAGTGAGGGAGTGGACCACAGCTTGACTATAAGGGACTATAGATGTAAAGTGAAGGGGGTGGCTCACCACAGGTTTGTAACTGGGTGGACTACAGAGTAAAGTGAGGGGGTTGCCCACAGATTTGTAGATGGGAGGACTACAGATGTAAAGCGAGGGGGTGGACCACAGGGTTGTAGATGGGTGGACTCTAGATGTAAAGTGAAGGGGGTGGCTCACCACAGGTTTGTAGATCGGTGGACTACAGATGGAAAGTGAGGGGGTGGACCACAGGGTTGTAAATGGGTGGACTACAGA